AGACACCGGCATGTCTGGCGTCCCCGTAACCCTTCCCGCTCCGTGCCCGACAGCGTGCCAGGCGGATGGTCGGGAAGCTGGGCTGGCCCCGCAAAGAAAGAGCTTGCAGGATGAAGGCTGAGCTTGCAGATCGGCACTGTGCTCACATGCCAGGCCAGGAAAAAGCTTGGAGGCAGAGGATGGGCAGCACAGGGGGCAGGCAGGATGAAGGCAGGATGGAGGTGACTCCTCCCCGACACACGCTCCCACGGACACGCTCCTTCAGACCTCATGTATTTGCCTCCCATCCAGACAGTGTGTCCAGCTGGGCCTGGAAACACCTTTCAGGAAAGGCTGCCAAATGTTTTATAGTATCTCCTGGAGAAGCCAAGAGGCACCGCTGCTCCGTCTGGGCTCTGCCATGGCCTTGCCCAGCTCCAGAGCCAGAGCTGGCACAGCAGGCAGGGGCTGGCAGGATCCCGGTCACGCTGCTGAGCCCAGGTCAGAACCCTCCAGTGCTGAGGCCAGGCAGGGCTGCGGGCACCCAGCCCACCACGGAGCAGGTCCTGCCCTGCCTCTGGTCCAGAACACAGGAAAAAAAGAGATTTCTGGGGGAAAATGAGATGCTGCGGTTTCCACTTTGCACAGAGGCTGAAGGCTCAGGGCATCTCTGGGCATCCCACTCCCCAGCCAGCCCTGCCAGGAGGCTGGGAGGGCTCAGGGGCCACCGTGCCCACAGCTTGGAGGAGTTTGTCGGGAGCAGGAGGGGATGCCAGGCACCAGCTCCACACCAGACCCCACACGGGAGAGCTCACCACTGGCTGTACAGGTTACGGTGGCAAAGATAACCCAGAGCTTGGTGCTCTGTCCAAACACAATGCTTCCTTTCCCAATCCTGCAAACCAGGAGAAACACAAGCTTTGGAAGCACGTCGGAGCCCCCAGCCCTCCTTCACAGCCGCAGGGGGTCACGGATCACACTGTCCATCTAAGGGTTTCTATGAATCACGGCAGATTTCTAACTCTAATGCGACATTAGAAACCAAAAGCTTAATGGTCCAGGCTGCAGAGCTCACCCTGGGAGGATTTTAATATGACCAAGACACCAAAGCACATCAGAGGAACACAAGAGACCGATTTCGAGCCAGAAATCTCCTTTTGCTTCAAGCAGTACAGAAAGAGGAAAAAAAAAACCCACAATTTTTGCTGGCTGGGGAAAGAACAGCTCAAACATCACCGAGGAGGAAGGAGCAGCCTCGAGGTGTTGACCATGGGGCACGAGGAACCAAAGGCCAACAGAGCTGCGACCTAAAACCTGACACACACCCGGAGAGGGCATCAGGAGGGGGTGAGTCACCCCGGGAGCTGCTCTGCCAAGCACCAGCCCCAGTTCGCTCCGCCGCAGCGACGGGCGGGCAGAGGGGGTGCACGTGGCCGTCAGCCGCTCCGCTTCCAGCAAGGGCTGTTTTCCTGGAGCGCTCAGCAGGCTGTGCCTGGGGATGCTGCTCGGAAGAAGAGGGGTTTTCCCACCCCCTGCTGCTCAGCCGGCCTGAGGAACCGGCCCCAGCTGCACACGCACGAGTTGGGGAGATGTAAAAAAATCCAGACTAGAAAAATAGAGCAGTTAATCACAAGGCTGAGCAGTTCCTTTGATAAGTTCTGTATTTTTACCCTCCTAAATCCATCCCCTTCCATCTTCCTCGGTTTCTTTTTACCCCTCTGACTTTCGGGATAGAGGAACCCGGCCCTAAAGAACTGCCCTACAGGGATGCCCGACTGCTGGAGGGGCTGATCCAGGTCGGGGGGGATGATGCTGGTACCCAGGGGCAGCTCTAAGCCAACGTGCATCCAAGGCTGGTGCTCCCAGCACGCCCAGCCACGGAAATCAGAGCATGGCATGAATGTCAGGGCGATGCTGGGAGGAAGCAAAGAAGACCACGAGGCAGACGCTGTCCCCACGCTCGGCACAGGGGAACTACAATTTAACGGGATCCACGGCCCTTCCTGCCTTTGGCACAGGGTGCTGCAGCCACGGTCAGGGCTGAGCGAGAAGGGCGGGCAGGAGGGAGGAAGCGTTCGGGACAGGGCACTTTTCATCCTCTCCCTGCCCTCGTACAGGCACTGGGGGGGTGCAGACAGGGGTCTGGCAGGCAGCGGTGGGTGGGGAGAGGTGACCTGAGAGCCCCAGCCACAGAGCAATCCCACATGCAGCACAGGCTGCACGTAGAGAGGCACGAATCCACGCTCCGGCCACGCTCCCAGCATCCTGCTCCCTTGGGAACTTGAGTACAGGTGACCCTGGGTGACAAGGAGGGACAGAAACCTGGAGGGAGCCTACAAGAAAGCTGAGAGGGGCTTTGGACAAGGGTGTGGAGTGACAGGACACGGGGCAATGGATTTAAACTGAAAGAGGGGAGATTTTGATGAGATCTAAGGAAGAAATTCTTCCCTCTGAGGGTGCTGAGGCACTGGCACAGGTTGCCCAGAGAAGCTGTGGCTGCCCCATCCCTGGCAGTGTTCAAGGCCAGGTTGGATGAGGCTTTGGGCAACCTGGTGTAGTGGAAGGTGTCCCTGCCCATGGCAGGGGGGTTGGAACTGGGTGATCTGGAAGGTCCCTTCCAACCCAAACCATTCTATGATTCTATGATCTTTCTGCACTCGAAACTGTTTTGGCTACAAGGGTTTCAGTTGACACAGTTTGTCTGTAGGTTGTTTGCAGCACCCAAACCACTGTACCCCCGCACGACTTTTTTTACCCCCCCTCTCTGCGTCCCCTCGCTCTGCCTCGCAGCTGCCCTTCGTCAGCACGGAGCGATGCAGACAGTGCTGTATCCGCACCACATCCCATAATAATACAGCACGCTCCACAATCGATTTCCCCAGAGGAATTGTTCCCTCCATGATAGGAAGGAGAGCGACCAGGCGTGCACCCTGGAAAGGAGCTTCGCACGTCAGAACCCTCAGCTCGGGCACACCGAACCCTCCTGGCGCCCGCGTCCCCGACGGCGGGCACCTGCCTCCCACGCCGCGGGAGCCCCCACCCTCCGGCAGGAAGGGCCGTGCCCAAAACCACCCGTTTGAAAAGCTCGGACCAGGAGCCGCAGGATGGGACCCTGCAATTTTCTCGCCGCGCGTGGGCGTAAGTGAGGGCTGAGGGTGTCGGGGCCGCCGCTTTGGGGACCCATTTAGCCACACCGGGCATCATCACCCAGCGTCCACCAGCGACCGGAACAGGAGACGCCTTCTCAGCAGACACAAATAGCGGTGGCATCGGGAGCAACCCTCCACCAGCTAGAAATCCCTTGCAGAGGACATGGACCCATCTCCCTCATCCTCCTGCTGCTCCCAGTCACAGCTTCTCCGGAGGGACACGCATCCGGGGACCTAAGGCTGAACTTGGCTGGCAAACACCAGTTCGAAGGCAAAACCCGACTCCCCACATTCCCTGATCTTACTCCACGAGGGATTTTACTGGCAGACCCACGTGCAGAGCTCTCTCCCTGCCCCAGTAGCGTTAGCTGGGATGCGTTTTTCAGATGGCCCTTGGCAAAGCGTGGTGCAGAATGCCACCCGCCGAGCTGGCACCGCTGCCAGCCCCTCTCCACTAGTCCTTCCAGTTCATCCAGTTAATTTGCCAGACCCTGAACCCGGCTGCCACCCTGGAAGGGCTGAACTGACCTATTCTGTCCCCGGGGCTTTGCTCGGCTCCTGCAATTAGTGACAGGGATCGTCAATGCAGCAGAGCGGCTGCCAGCCTTTCAGCTGGAGTGCTTCAAGAAATACCAACGCCTGGAAAATAGGAGACTCCTTTTGTAGGCAGAACAAAGGCAGAGAGGCATTAAGATCTTATCTGAAGCGTGGGTAGGATCCATCCTCCCCAGGGCTCTGGGCCCTCCAGCCTGGCAGTTTCCACCCGGTTCAGCTCTGCCACCTCCTTCCCGCTGCTCCCGCATCCCTCCCGGCCCCTCTCCGCAGCACCCAAACACCCAGCACCTCCAGCAGCCTCTCCTCCCTCCCACTCAGAGCACAAGACCAGCACCACAAAGGTGGGGTGCTGGTGCCTGGCAGACCCTGCCTGCACCCCAGCCCCTCTTCTGACCCGCTCACGTGTAACCGAGAGCGCAGAACATCCCTCTGCTATGCCAGCTCAAGCCCCCAGAGTCCAGGAGACCACCGGGAGCTGGGCATGGCTGCTTCTTTTCCACGGACAGAGAGGTCCTGCTGGCATTTGAGTCGTAGTGACCAACATCTAGAGGTGCAGGCTTGAAAGAATGAAGACACCCCCTCCCCTGCAAGGCAGCTGGTTTTGCATCCAGCCACCTCCTGCCCACCATAAGGAGCTGGAAGTCCCAACAAGCTACGGAAAAGCCCAGGCAGCGGAGCGCACTCCCTCCCCAGGGTCTCCTTTCATAAGCAACAGCTAATGAAGAGCCTGAATTCATTGTCAGAACAGCGCTGGAGACTCCGGCCCGCTCGGCGCAGCGTTATCCCGATTGTTACCATGGAAACA